TTTTTGAGAGGTTTTTGCTATAGGGCGTGTGCGCTTGCCAGACAGACAGAGACATAGAGACAGAAAGCGAGAAATCACCCCCCGGGGGGATGGTCACACCACAATCCCTTCTCCACTCTCCTTTTGGGATATTGGGCATGCATGCACACGTGCCCGGCGTGAGTTTAAGCCACCGGGTCCGGGACTCATACCATGGTCGACTACGTGGGAGTCCAGCGACATAGCCATTACGCTAACTGCTGGTCCCAACAGTGCACTCTTCTGACCCAAGCACTAGGACACCGTCATTCTCCCAGACTAGGTCGTCTTCCTCTAGCCTACCGTTAAAAGCTGCCTTCTTGTTTCTAGTTACACTCTTGGTAGACAATCTCATTTTCTGCTGGTCCTGGCTGGCCACCATAAAGCAACAACATGTATTTTCTTTTTCTCTCTCTCTCTTTCAATTTTGCTATGGGGTATGTGCACTTGCTGGAGAGAGAGGGAGGGTAAGTGAGAAAGGACCTCCAGGGGGAATGAGCAGGCTGCAATCTCTTCTCCTCCACTCTCTTAGGATTTTGGGTATGCACATACATGCGCCTGACACGTTTCTCAAGCTGTTGCCCGATCTGGGACTTGAACTATGCATTTGGCCATGTGGGATTTAGCCACCTTAACCTATCACACCACTGGCTGGCCCAATAACTCCCTGTTTTCTAGCTTCAGCCCTGATATGTCTTGAAGCCAGATCTTTTCAGCCAGATCCTCACTGGCTGACTGTACTTGGACAGGTCCATAAAGCTGCTACCTTAGCAGGTCTGAACACCCTGCCCCCACTTTACCTCTCCAGGCATCGTTATCTTAGCTATCTAGTGGACAGCAGGGCTGTTGTCAGACTTTGGTCAGTCCCCTCCAAGCCCATGGCTTGCCACCTCCATTCCCATCTCTCCCCACCAAATGTACGCTCCCACTACTAGCTCCTGCTCCTGGGAGCTTCTCTCCCACAATGTATTTTCTAAAAAGCGGCTGCTCTGTTATCTAAGCCAAGAGAAACTGACTATACTAATTTTCATTTTATAGTTTGGAGAGTTGAAGTCCTCAAAGGCAAAAAGATTTGCTCAAGGTCATGGAATGATGGTTTTGCAGAGTTCTCCACTTCCAAAGCCAAATCCATTGGTCCACCCAGGTCCCTCCAGACACATGGGACACCTGGGCCTCTAGCAAGGGCCTCTTTTTAACTCCCTTGGGCTTGCCGTGGTAGCCACCCACCTGCCAACCTCATGTCCACTTTTCCCGCTGAGTTGGGACCGCCGGCAGGTGTACTGTTCGAGGGCCGTGCGCTCTGGGGAGAAGAAAGTGGAAGGGTAGGTTCGGGTGGGGGTAAGGGGCAAACGTGCGCTGGACTCAGGATCGTGCCCACAGGAGCCTCCCGGTCAGACATGGAAGTGCTTCTCCTGAACCCGGACTCCTCCCACCGGAGGCCCCAGCTCTGGCCATTCCTCTCGGCCTGGGAGCCGGCGACGCGAGCCGGACCGGGCCGGGGGGACTTGCCTGTCTGTGGGAAGACGAGGGTTCGGCCAGACGAGTCCCGTGGGGCGTCCGA